ATTTCAGTTTTCTTCCTTTGATCAATGGACAAGCTATTCAGCCTCAAGGCGACTCTGTTTGAGAGCCCTCGAGAGAAAGCAGAGACAAAGATGCGTACAGCCCCTCTTAGATCTTGGAGCCCAAACATTCATTTCCCGTGGAATCAATACATCAAGCCAATACTTGGGCCTTCTTACAAATCCCCTCAACTAAGCACTGGCACATTTTTTGAGGATTTCAAAGTACACGGATGAAACTCTGCTGTCTTGCCAGGCCCATCGTTTTTCCATTTTATTGACCTTTTTGCCTTTAGCTTGGTGGTGGTTTGCTTTCCCCACTGACAGAATGAGTACTTCCGGATATTAACTCAGTAGTGCTTCCCCTGGGCTGCATTTCTTTCCAGAACTCGGAGCTCTTATTAGGATGAGGTTTCAGAGCCATGGGCTCAAATGAGACTTCGCCACATACTAGTTACGTTCTTGGAAAAGTCAATTTGTCGCCCTGAGCCTCAGGGGTTTTGTCTGTGAAATGGGGATTTAATACAGCATTTGCAGAGTTGTTGTGACAATAAAACGGAAACAACATTAAGTACTTAAAAGGCACATGGCAGGGCTCCACAGACTAGTTCTCTCCCCTTCTTTTGGGGTCCGCCCTTGGGCCAAGATCATCCTTCCCAGAATTATAGTTAAATTGGTGTAAACAGGGGCACCTGGCTGGCTCAGTCAGTGGAACATGTGACTCTTGATCCCTGGGGCATGAATTCAAGCCTCCAGGCTAGGCATAGAGATAAAACGGGGCACCTGAGAGACTCAGTCTGCTAAGTGTCTGTCTCTTGGTTCCTGCTCAGGTCTTGATCTCAGGGTCCTGGGATAGAGTCCCACATTGTCTCCCCGCTCAGCACAGAGTCTGCTTGTCCCTCTCCTTCTGCTCCTCTTCCTGCTCATTCTCTCTCTCAATCAAATGAATAAATAAATAAATAAATAAAATCTTTTTAAAAATAAATAAATAAAAATAAAAACAATAAAGTGATACCTACTACCAAGCCATCTTAAATCACAGTTAGGTATTACTCAGGCCACAGATCCTCTGATTCATCTTTGACTATAGGAAGTGCCCTGGCTGGCCTCTCCTAGTACAGTAGGAGTACTGAAAAGCAGGGTTTTGTTTTGTTCTGTTTTTTTGGAAAACCTCCCATAGTATTTATTTCAAATACATGTTATTCTGCTGTTGTTTTTTTTTCTCTTGAATGATCTGAATAGAGTTGGTTAATTAGTTTAAGCTTTGTAAGCATCCCAGGATTATATTTTTGGTTTATTAAACTACAAGATGTATAAACAAATGTTCATCTGTAATACACGAAGTGTTCCTTGCGGGGGAAACAGCAGGGAGCAGATAAAACTCATGCTCTAACGTTTAATACATTGTTGTTAACATGGGACAGATGTTATACATAATTTTTTTTAAAAATTCACTTTACTCATTTTGGAAACAACGTCACCAAAAGCAGAAGAGTGACCTTACTGTAGAATTACATGCACAAGGCAAGATCTATTGTCATGTATTGAAATTGTTTTTACTTTCATATTTTTAATAAATTTGGAGGGACTTGGGTTTTTTTTTCATTTATTTTTCTTTAATGAGCTTATATACGCAGTCCATGAGTTTTCAGTCTTCATAAGCCAATTCTCGGGGAATGGAATATAGAAACTATTTGATTAAAAATTCCAGCGATTAGTTGCTACACAATGGCTGCAAAGTTTAAAATTGAGTTTGAGGAAAATTGCAATGAAAATAGCTCAGACTCAGAAGAGATAAGGGGCCATTCCTTTGGTCTTGGTACAAGCTATTTCTTACAAATAATGATTCTGCACGACTAGGGAAGGATTTAAAATGTAGCCCTATAAAGTTGAAAGGGTCTTTCACCTCATTTTCTGATCACAATTCCTATTTCCAAATTGGGCAAAATGAGCCACAGCTTCTACCAAGGTACTCATCATTTTAAGTGATAGTCCCATAAATCGAATTAATTCTTATGCTGCAAAGAAATTCTGAATTTTCATTACTTCTTAAAGCTCTTAACTACAGGTTTCAGATAGATAGCATTTTAAGTTAAAACTTCTCTGCAACTTAAAAAATAAATACATAAAATAAAATAAACTTCTCTGCAACTGACCACTACTTTTGCATTTTTAGCTTCATTGTTGTACATATAATTTATTCTATTTAGGATTCCATTTTCCTTCACACTGGTGTAGGTGGAGAATGGAAGGGGCCAGTCACTGTGTCTTTTAATCAACACTATAGAGTGTTCTTGCTTGCACAGTGATATGTTCTCAAATATGCTTGTACTCTTCAAACCTAAGTTTAAAAACAGCCTAGGGGCCGAGAAAACACTGGGTTGTGCCTTGTAAAAGTCTCATATAAGAGTATTTGCAGGAATGTCAGGTATGTGACTCAAGCTTCCTGCACTTATAGCCACAAATGGCAGAATAAAGAGGTTTTGTTCTTTGGGTTTTTTTTTTTCTCCCCCACCCCTTTCCAGAAAATAAGAATCCTCCATAATCTTTAACTAGACTGAGTCTTGAGTTCATGATGGTTTTGATATCTGGTTGCAGCAACCAGCTTCTTCCAACAACATAATTTTACAAAGAAAGCTCCTCATATTATCTGTTTTCTGTTTATCTGCACCTTTCTTGAGAAATTCCAATTGGACTTTTTGCCTTTGATAACATGACAGCAACTTACTATGACATATCACAATTATGGGGAAGAACTAATAAAAAAAATTCCCAAGTCTCCCATTTATCAGTGAGAATCAGTAAAGAGCAAAAGCATAAAGAAAGCTCTGATGGTGTTAATAAATGGTGAGGATTTGGAACAGGGGTCCAGGAGCACGCAGTGAGAGATCACTTTTCCCACCACCAACATGGTGGGGCTTTGGGGAGAGACCAGCCTGACTGCCAGGCCAGCAAGGTCACTGTGCCTTCCTGTGTAAGTACAACATAGCACCTGTTCAGCCACAGGTTTACCTGGCCTCAGGAGAAAGACTGTCCCTAAAACACATGCAAACTACTATTTAGAGATCATCATGCTTTTTTTTTTTTTCAACATTTTAAGTATAATCTTATCACAACAAATTTACTTTTTGTCTAGGACTCTTCCGTGTGTTTTTAAGTGTACTAACACACTTTGTCATCTCATTCATATAGCATAAAATGGGAAATAGTATCTCCATTTTTTAGATGAAGTGTTGAGGCACAGAGAACACAGTACCTTGCCCAGATTCACATGGCTAGCGAGTCAGGGATCAGCACACATTTTCCATAGTCAGGTAGTGAATATTTTTTACTTTCAGCCACCAGTCTCTGTAACAATTACCCAACCCTGCCCTTGTGGAGCCATAAATGATACACAAATGGATGGACATGTTCGTGTTCCAACAAAATTTTTTTTTCCTTTCTTTTTTTTTTAAGATTTTATTTATTTATTTGACAGAGATCACAAGTAGGCATAGAGGCAGGCAGAGAGAGGAGTCAGCAGGCTCCCTGCTGAGCAGAGAGCCCGATGCGGGGCTCGATCCCAGGACCCTGAGATCATGACCTGAGCCGAAGGCAGAGGCTTTAACCCACTGAGCCACCCAGGCGCCCCTCCAACAAAATTTTATTTATGGATACTGAAATTTGAACTTCATATAGTTTGCATGTATCATGAAATATCTGTTCCTTTGATTTTTCCCAACCATTTAAAAATCTAAAAATTATTCTCAGCTCTTATGTTGTATGTATAAAAATAAGCAGCTTGGGGAGCCTGGGTGGCACAGTGGGTTAAGCTACAGACTCTTGGTGATGCTTGTTTTTGGTTCAGGTCTTGATCTCAGGGTCATGAAATCAAGCCCCGCATCGGGTACCGTGCTCATTGGGGAAGCTGTTTGAGATTCTCCCTCTCCCTCCGCACCTGCTCCCATAACCCGCTGCCGTGCCTGTGCATTCTCTTTCTGTCTCTCTCTAAAATAAATAAATAAACCTTGAAAAAGCAAAACAGTTGGCTGGGTTTAGCTCTTGAGCTATAGTCAGCTGCAGTAGGCGGTAGAGTCAGAATTTGAATCCAGGCCATGTGTTTCCAGTGAGCTCTTAATCACTATATCCTCTATATCATGATAATAATAGTAAATCATGCTCTTTATAGAAAACTCAGCAAAGTCTGAGAGAGGAAATAAGAGCCACCCATAAAACCACAACCCAGAACTAACCATTAGTAATATTTGATACCGTCTTCCATTCTTTCATCTACTGTGTGATGCAGTATTCCACTTATTAATTCTAGCTTTTTCACTTATCATAAGCTTATTTCCATTTCCGCAGAGGCCCACAATTGTAGCTCATTTGAAATGTACTAAGGGAAACTGCTATTTTGAAAGAATCCTATAGCTAATGATTTCCTAAAGAATCCTTTTATTAAGTGAGCCGTTGGTCACATTCCATTTATCTGAGGCTTATTTGCATTTCTGGGAGTTGGATTTTTTAAAAGCAATCCAGTCTGCAGTCAGGGATGTAGTAAAAAGGCTTCAAAATCATCTAGACATGAATTTGGCTTCTCGCCGTCCCTTTACTAACGAAATTACCCTGAGCAAACCATTAACTTTGCCACACCTCCGTTTTTGCTTATATGGAAGATAAACCACAACCACAATATACAATCATACAATATGCATGAACCTAGCACAGAATAGTAGTTGATTGGTAGCAATGAGCCCTTACATTCCTTGCCCTGATTCCTAGTCCCCACCACCATCCACAGGAAGCAGATTATCTCCCTCCTGACCATCGGGAAAGCATCCTTTTCTGTTCTGTGCCCTGGTAAGAGTTTTCCTGAGTAAAAATGGGCCAGCAATTCCAGGGCTAATCAGGAAGATAATGAGATGGGAGGATCCAAAAGCCTCCACGCCTTCCCCCTCTGGCTCCTGCTCCGCCCCACAGACTCTGTGCCCGGGTTCCCACAAACAGCAGGTGGCTTTCTGACATCAGCAGAGCCTGGGATCCTCTTCAGAGCTAACAAGGAACCTCTAGAGCAGACGTCCGAAAAGAATGCAGACCCCAGCCAATTCCAAGAGCGGCCACGATGTCCTGGAGCTGAAGAGTACGACGCCCCCCCCAGCAGAGGGCTACAGCAACATGGGCTTCCAGGTGAGCCGACAGTTCCTCTCGTTTATGACAAAGTCATTGCAAATAATGCTCTTTCTAACCACCTTGGCAAGTTTCTGAAAGAAAGCAGCAGGGTTATGGAAATGCAGTAAGAGTTCCTCAGGAAACACTTTAAACCTATTGTTTTTTCCTTCTTGGGTTCTTCTTGGGCAGACAAACCTGAAAAGTCTCTTTTAATAGAACTTGTTTTGATCCCTGACTTGCCCTGTCACTTAGAAACAAGTCTATCCTCTCTGGCTTTTGTTTTGGGCTCACGGGCCCTGACAGTATTTCCCAAAGAGCTGGAAAAAATGGAAAGAATGGGGAGAATCCAGATATTGGATATAGGGAACACCTGAGGGGTTCTTCCTCTTACAGCAAGTCCCAAAGTCCCTGTCCCATGGTGGCCGCCCCAGTGCAGCCAGGTTAGGCAAACCAGTTTCATGTCATCAACCAAAACTCATTGAGTGATTAATGCCTCTGACTCTGGACGGGTTGCTGCAGAGATCTAGAAGGTGTCCTGTCCCAGGGAAACACTGGGCTCTTCTGACTGGCTCTGGGATGGGGATTTTTCAGGGATGTCCCTAGCTATGTTTCCTTCCTTAAGCTGACACAAGAGCCCACACCAACAGGAGTCAGAAACCTCTTGGGATTCAGGGTCACCTCAAAGGCAAAACAAACTTTTAGACACTAGCAAAGAAACAAACAAGGAAAGTAAAAGGTCTTTGGCACAAGTTCTAAGTCTTCCACCCACAAATTACTGTAACTTCCCTGAGCTTCAGTTCAGTTGTCTATATGTAGTCACAGTGATCTTCATCTCATAGGTTATAAGTGTAAGGGAAAAAAAGTTTTATCCTCTATCCTCTTACATTCAGCACCTGAAGTCTGTGAATTAAACTGAGAAATGGCAGGTTAACCAGAGAAAGACGTACAAATTTTATTAGTATTTTTAATGTTGTGTTCATACAACTTCACAGAAAAGAAGTGAAAAATCCAAAGAAACTTCAAGACCCAGGGGTTTATATACCCTTTTAACAAAGGACAAAAAATTGTGGAGAAGTGATTAGACAAAAAAAAAAAGAGAGAGAGAGAGAAAGAGAACTTGGGCTTTTAGGGCTAATAGTCTGTGGAGAAGTGAGTAGGAAATACATTGGAGAAACTTATGGAATATAAGGTTTGATATGAGGTTATGCAATCTTATCCCAGTACCATCTCTTTGTCCAGTACTGTTACGGGAGTTGGGACACCTGCATAAGGGAAAGTCATGTCCCGCTTGTAGACAGAGAGACAAAGACTGAAGTGATCTTTTGGTGTCTGCTTTTTCTCAATTGCTTTCAGCTCAGAATAACTCTCAAGCCAAAGTGGTATATTTTGGGATGGCATATCCTAATTCCCTTCATAAGGGTTAAATGAGAAAAAGTCCCAACTCCGAGGGCTTTATGGTTCAAGAGAATGGAAGGGATAGAGTCAAAGTGAGTGTGACAGCAAGACAAAGATGTCTGCAGAGGAGGGAGATCCACGTCACCCACAACTGACAGCCTAGTCAGTGGGACACACATCCACCAAAGGTAACCCTGACTTCTATCCCTCATTCTCTTCTATCAAAACAAAACATCTCCAGAGCTCAAACCCAGCATCTCCAGGTCTCAAAGCCAGCAGAATACCACACACCAACACCAACAAGCAGTGACCAGGTTATTTCTTCTAACTCTTGCTGTTTGACAAGAATTTCCAGAGACACATATTTACTCAGCAAAACCATTAACTCCTCCCAGATAGGTCACTATTGGAAAGGGATACCAATTCAAGAAGGGATAATACACTATTCTGGCCCTCCAGGAGCAAAGCAAGCAGAATCGTAATATGATGTAAAACAAAAACAAAATATAATGCTAGAAGTCAGCACCAAGTGCATTGTAAATACATATGCAAGTAGAGTTGGGCTGACCTGGAAGTCTCTCAGTTAGGGCTTCAAGAATGGGCAGGGATTCCCCAGTTGAACTGGGAGGGGTGTCAGCAGAGCACTACAAGCAAAGAAAACTGTCTGCATAGGCCCAGGAGCCTGAAAGAACATGTGTGTTCAGGATCCAGAAGATGAGCTGGGGCTGGAGAGTAGGGACAGGGCCAGGGTGGCCCCAGATCACACAGCCTCCATGTGTGCGAAGGCCTCGGGAAAGAATCCACCAGGATATACACTGTCAAGTTATTAAAGTACTCTCCTAGCCCTGCTGAGAGTGGACAAAATAGAAAGAGATTTGTGTGTAGTTGGGACAGCATTTAGGAGGTTAGAATGATAATCATGGTGAAAACCAGCTCTGGGCAGAAGTACTGATACTGGGGGCGCCTGGATGGCTCAGTGGGTTAGGGCCTCTGCCTTTGGTTCGGGTCATGATCTCGGGTCCTGGGATCGAGCCCCACATCGGGCTCTCTCCTTGGCGGGGAGGCTGCTTCCCCCTCTCTCTCTGCCTGCCTCTCCGCCTACTTGTGATCTCTCTCTGTCAAAGAAATAAAATATTAAAAAAAAAAAAAAAAGAAGTACCGATACTGGTAGGAAGCCCCCTCGGCCATGGAATTAGCATTGAGTCAGGGTGACCTAGGGGCTGCTCTGGTTATTAATATTTCCATTTTCTTCTCTGTACGGTAGAATAACAATATCATATCTTGAGGCTGAGAGAATCAAATGAGGTAATATATGTTAGAAAAAAAAAAGCATGTAATATTTGTTTTAAAAAACTGTTCTGTCCTAGTTTGTTCATGTCATTGTAACAAAATACCACAGACTGGGTGGCATATACACAGAAATTTATTTCTCATAGTTCTGGATCCTGGAAGTTCAAGATGGTGGCTGCAGAAGATTCAGTATCTGGTGAATGCCACTTCCTCATGGACAGTCATCTTCTTGGTGTGTCCTCACACAGCAGAATGCACAAGGGAGCTCTCTGGAGTTTCTTTTATAAGGACACTGATCACCTCAAAGGCTCCACCACTTAATCTGTCACATTGGGCATTAGATTTTCCAAAGAGGAAATCTGGGGGGGTTGGTGGGGAAACATTCAGACTATAGCAAGTGCCTAGCACACAGTGTGAACATAGTAACAGTAGTTCTTGGTGTTGGGGCAGGTTAAAGAGTGACCAAGTCAACATTTCTAGCTTGAGAGCTCAACTTAGAGGTTCCCTTCATGTAGATGGGAAATCCAGAAGTAGGGTTGGAGCAAGGAAGACCATGAGTTCATTTTGAAGCCTGTTGGATGAAATTAGGGTGATTCCCTACCCCTAGATGAAGATGGAGAGGAGGTGGGAAGCTCTAGGTATGCGTGCACCTGGGTCTGGAAGGGAACATGATGCGCTCGGGGGCCATTAGCACAGCGATGAGCCAGTGGCATGAATGAAACCAGCAGGAGGGAAACCTAGGGAGCCTCAGTGTTTTTGGAGCAATCAGAGAATGAAGCAGAGAAGCCATGAGGAGAGAAGGAGGAGCAACATCAGGAGAGAGAAGCGTCTGGGGAAGCCAAGGGAAAAGGGAACCACAACATCAGCAGCAAAGACAAGTTCATTCGATTTGCCAACCAAGAGGTCACTGGTGACCGGGGGTGTGGATAGGGGCAGTTTGTGTTACGAGTGGGAGCTGAGAAAAGGGGAAAATAAGGGAAGGGAGGATGTTCCTTCTCCTGATGGAGAGCAGAGTGGTGAAGAGAGAGACAGACTCACGGGAGGCAAGATTGGGACTGTAAACAGGGGACTTTTTTATTAAAAAAAAAAAGAAATCTCATTGTGAAATATAATATGCAGAAAAACACACAAAATCAAATAGACAACTTATTATAAAGTGCCATCCATGTCAAGAAACAAGGCATCGCCATCCCTCAGCTCAGACGTCCCAACTCCGCACATCTGCCACAGCTGCCACTCGCCCCTGGGGGGTGACAATGATCCCAACTTTATAGTAATTACTTCTCTGCTTTGTTTAATATCCTAACTTATAATTATGAATCCCCAAGCATTGTTTTTGTCCATTTTTAAACTTTATGTAATAGAAAATTACAAGAGATTTCTTTGCTTATTTTAAAACATTAATATGGAATTGGGCAAGAGGAATCATTCTGTATCTGACTTCTTTTGCTCAGTTTTTTGTTTCTGAGACTCAGCCATGCTGTTGCATGTAACTGGAGTTCATCCAATTTCATTGATATACAGTATTCTCCATAAACATTGCACAATTTATCTATTTTACTGTTGGTGGACATTTATGTCATTAAGCTTGGAGCTTTTAGGAGCTTAGCAAACAAAGGCAGCTATAAATACTCTTTGACATGTCTCCTGTTGCGCACGTAACCAATTTATTTGGTGTTATATTTAGGAGTAGAATTGCTAGGTCATTGGGAATGCATATATATTTTCAACTTTAGCAATAATGCCAAACTGGTTTCCCAAGTGGTTTTACCAATTTACACTTCCATCCACAGAGTGTGAGTTCCTTTTACTCCAGAGCCTCACCATATTTATCTGGCTTTTTAATTTCAGTGATTCTGATAGATGTATAGTAAGTGGTGTTTAACAGTGAGGTTTCATTTTCATTTTCCTTTGTTACTGGCCACTAGATGCCAACTTTATGAAATACTTGTTCAAGTTTCTCGCCTATTTTCTCTACTGGATTTTGTCTTTTCTTTACTAATTTGGAAAGAGTTCTTTAAATGTTCTGAATACAAACCCTTTTTCAGTTACATGCTTTCCAAATACTTTCTACCACCCTTAAGCTGTCTTTTACTCTGTAATAGTTGGGTACACAAAAGGTAATTATAGTGTGGTCCCATTTATCAAGTGTTTCTGTTTTATATATCCTGTTTATATATCCATCTTTTTCTGCCTTGAAAGATCATAAAAATACTCTCCCATATTTCCCAAAAACTCATTGCTGCCTTCTACATTGAGGACTCTAGTTCCCCTGAAAAGAGATCTTATGTATAGTGTAAGGTGGTCATCAAGTTTTTGTTTTTCTACACAGG